TTGATCTCGTATCATCTGATAACGCCAAATCACCACATATGATATCTGCAGACAGTTGATATTTATTCATATCATACTCAATAGCATCTTCGTCCTCACACTCCTTTGGTTTCCAGTAAGAAATGATATATACACCAATGTTTTTTTTTTTTAATCTAAGAATTCGCCCGTAGTAGATTTCCTGAGTGTTTGTGACAGAATCATACCACATGTGGCAGATATTTCGTCCAATAACATCACGAAAAAGAATATCTTCTATATCTGCAGCCTCGTTATTTTCAAGATCAGGAAACAGTATTTGCATTTGCTGAGGTACACAGTTTTTTAAAATCTTTTCTACATTTTTTCTTTCTTTTTCCTCCTTTTTTTGAAGCTTGGCAGCCATTCGTTTAATCAGTTCTATCTTCAATTCCTCATGTTTTTGTATGTTTGCAAATTGCTTTTTTCTAGCAGTGGATATGGCCCATAATATCAATTTGTTTCGAACCTCAATAGGTTTTTCATAGAGTAACTCAGTGGTTTTATTTTTGCATGCACGCAGTTTTGCTGATAAGAAACAGAGTGTAGCATTTGGTCCTTTTTGCTTTGCACCACTAAACATACCCATAAGTTCTTCTGAGTCAATATTGTGAAGTCGTGCTGATAATGTCTGGGCTTTAAGTTTATCAGTTGTATTCAAGTTAAACAGTCGCTTGTATTGCCGGTCAATGACATTAACAACAGCACTCAAACAGCAGACTATTGCGTCTCTAATTTCATCAGTTCTAGGAGAAAAGTTAACAATAAAATCAAACACCGGGTCATTAAAACAACCACCAAAAAAGTCTGTTGTTCGGTTTAATAAAGAAAGAGCATTCTTCTGACTCTCAATAAGAATGTTGCGAACACCTTTAACCACTTCAACACCAGACAAAAAGTCAACTTCACTTTGTGCAACATAGAAATTGGTCATCCAAGGACCGGTCAATAATTTTCCCATTAAACCTATAGCACACAGCTCGCCTATACCTGAAATGAATATACAAATGCGATTAAAAAAAAACCATATAGAAGATTAAAAGCCATTATCTGATTTCCAATATATAAAGTATATATAAAATATTAACCAGTGTCTGATGTGAAGTCTAGGAGCAAGCTATTTCTCAGTCCTCCACATGAAACCACACCAGAATGCAGGAAAGTTCTCAATCGAGCATAGTAATGAATTAAGACTCCACACGTGTGAAAAAGGATGTGTAGTCGATTTCCCCTGTAGCGAGGTAGTAGTCCTTTAGGGAGCTTGTTGTTATCCAAAAATATAACAAATTCCTTCGGGTCACCTTTAATTAAGAAAATACAATGTATATATATCTATACTCTGTATATAAGTTCTTTGCGAGTTTAAAGCAATTCACTTTTTAAATCTTCTATTCAAAAACTTATAAATTTAAAGCAATAACTTGATAAACTTAAAACATCAACAAAATTACACTTATACATACATACATACATATATATATATATATATATATATATATATATATATATATATATATATATATATATATATATATATATATATACCTTTACCATCCTCGTAACGGAGTTTGTTAAGCTGAACAACAATGTTAGCAGCAACACAGTCTTTACCGAAAAGATTCCCTTGTGAAGTTTCCAATGCTTTAAGCGATGACTTACAAGCACTGGTTATTGTGTCTAATGGATGAAGATGACAGTTAAGTTCATTTAATTACTTTTGCCACAAATTGTTTAACTTAGTTACTGTTGCATGGTTTGTGGCAACTCGGTCGCTCATGGTGTTACTTATATTGCTAATAATAGTACTTCGTAATTCCAAGTACTTTTGCTGGTAAAAGTCACTATATAACTTTGCTAGATGATCTATTGACTGTGTAATGTGACTCTGATAGTCATTAGCTGTACTTACAGCAAGTTGGTCAATTGCTACAACCATGCATTTTGTCTGAGTTGTAATGTGTACTGCATTTACATGAATACCCTCCTGAGTTGTGGCATCAAAACCCAGAGTAAGATCTTTTGTTGACAATGCTATCTCAGCAGTCTGTAGGTCTGAAATAACACCTAGCTCACGCATCATCTGCTCCACGGTTGTGCGGTGTGGGATATCACTGAAACAATATCCTGTGTGTTCTCCAATTTTATGGAGTAGCAGTGGCACACTGTGAGAAGGAACATGACACATAAGCATGTCATATATTAGAGCCCTAATACTTGTTGAGTAACTTTTGGAATGTCTTGAATTTTGTTTTGTCTCCTGGATAGATTCTAATTTCTCCTGTAATATCAACATATCATTCTGCAGGACTTGAATCTCTACATTTTTGTCAACAAGTTGATTTTTTAATATTGCTGTTACAGAAGATAACTGGTTCTGGGCTGACACTAGTTGCCTTTTCAAATAAAGATTAGCATTTTGAAGTTGCTTTAACTTTAAGTTGGAACAATTTTTATTTAACTTCTCACGCAGTTGACGAATTGTTATCTCTTTTCGAGCAATAGTCTGATTTAGTTGTTTAAGCCTATATGGTTTTGATCGAATTTTTTCTCTCAAAGTTTTTAAATCCTTTTTATGTTTTAGACTTTTTGTGGCAACTTCATTTGCCAATATAGATAACCTCTGTTTAAGGACTTTTTTTTCTTGGAGTTAGTTGGTCATTTCTCAACTTAGGGAACAGTTGTGAATCAAAAGATGAAGTACCAGAGTTTGACAAGGAATCAGCACATGATTCAGCTATGCTAATTGGTCCAATGGAATTTAAACAATCCAAAGAACTGGATGTAAATGATGCATTGTAGACTGCAGTAGGCACTGTAACAGCTTCAATGTCAGGTAAAATAGTTAAAGAAATTGAATTAAAAAATACTTCTGAGCAAATTTTTTTAAACTTTTTCATATCTCTTGATATTGTTTTTTTATATTTAATGATACTGCAACCTATCAAATGCCTAATTTGATTTTTACTTGTAGGAAGACCAAATCTTTCAAAAATATTTTTTTCTGTTTTAGTAGCTGAAAATCCATTTTGAATATACAAATAAATAACATGTCCTTTTAAACATAGCTGATAAGAAGTCGAATTATCAGAAAGAGGCAGTTCGCTGTAAGTGGACTTGAGATAATCGAAAATTGCACTTTTGCATTTTCTTTTTGACATTTTAAAACTTGAATTGCTGCACATAAAATCAAAAAATGAAAACAAATTTTTTCACATAAAATATAACAATAAGGCTTACATTAACATGTCAAAGATAATTACATCAAAGTTCCAACAATAAAAGGTGTTCTGTTCTTTATTTTATAAAATTTGTAATTTTTTTAAAAAAAATTTAAAAAAAAGTTTTTTAAAAATATAATCTTTTTGATAAATCATTTATCAAAGATAATTTTGTTAAGTCATTAATCAAAAAAAGTCAGCTGTATGTTTTTAGTTTGTTAAAAATTATTTATGGGCAGTTTTAGAATAAGGAACTTAATATTTATAACATTTAATAAATGTTATAAATATTAAGTTCCTTATTCTATTTATATATTTATAACATTTATTAAATGTTATAAATATTAAGTTCCTTATTCTAAAACTGCCCATAAATAATTTTTAACAAGCAAAAAACATACAGCCGACTTTTTAACTTGTATTTTATAGACAAACAGTAAGCAATATATTAAAATGATTACCAATAAATTAAATCCAAACAAATACCAAAATATTCTTAATAAGAGTCTAATTTCTCAAAAGTTAACAAACATGTTTCTTGTAACACCGTCAAAGTAAATAAGTTTTTTAAACCAATCAAATTTTAAGAAATTATCCCGTGATCAGCAAAACTTTTAAAGATTAAAATGTAAGAAATTCTTAATTTCACCGAAATACCTGGTATGCTTGATGACTCTTGAAAACAATATGCGCACAACAAATTAACTTCAAATTTTGAACATCAGCAGATAAATAAATTATCTAAAGGACCTTTTAATTTCAAGAAGGACCCGCCATAACTTACAGAGTTGTAGCTCGTTAAAAACAATGAGGATTTACATTGTAAAATAAAGATTTTTTTTATTTTTGACAATAAAAATAAAATATAAAAATGTATAGCTTAACCTTTTTACTAAACGACTACCAATTTTTATTTAATTTGGTTCATAAATAGCGGCACAATATTGTTTGGCGTAAGTAGTGTTTTCGCAAAGTGAAAAAAATAGGTCACAGTTTTTTGCTTACTTTTTTTACGGCAAATTACGGATATTCGCACGTACCTAAATAATCCAAATATTAGCATCATTAAAAAATCATCTTTGATGCATTACATTTATTTTGGTCCAAGTAGTTAAGGATTTTTTTAAATTTTAAAAAACAGAAGTAAATGTTTTTTTAATATCACTCTATCTCTTTTGATTAATGGTGATACTGCACTAAATTATGAAACACATTGACGGATGCAAGGCCAGTATAAAAGTCGCAAGATCTATTATTTTTAAAATAAATGTTTGTATACAAGTAATAACACGATTTGTTTGGATTATGTAGGTACGTGCGAATATCCGTAATTTGCCGTAAAAAAAGTAAGCAAAAAACTGTGACCTATTTTTTTCACTTTGCGAAAACACTACTTACGCCAAACAATATTGTGCCGCTATTTATGAACCAAATTAAATAAAAATTGGTAGTCGTTTAGTAAAAAGGTTAAGCTATACATTTTTATATTTTATTTTTATTGTCAAAAATAAAAAAAATCTTTATTTTACAATGTAAATCCTCATTGTTTTTAACGAGCTACAACTCTGTAAGTTATGGCGGGTCCTTCTTGAAATTAAAAGGTCCTTTAGATAATTTATTTATCTGCTGATGTTCAAAATTTGAAGTTAATTTGTTGTGCGCATATTGTTTTCAAGAGTCATCAAGCATACCAGGTATTTCGGTGAAATTAAGAATTTCTTACATTTTAATCTTTAAAAGTTTTGCTGATCACGGGATAATTTCTTAAAATTTGATTGGTTTAAAAAACTTATTTACTTTGACGGTGTTACAAGAAACATGTTTGTTAACTTTTGAGAAATTAGACTCTTATTAAGAATATTTTGGTATTTGTTTGGATTTAATTTATTGGTAATCATTTTAATATATTGCTTACTGTTTGTCTATAAAATACAAGTTAAAAAGTCGGCTGTATGTTTTTTGCTTGTTAAAAATTATTTATGGGCAGTTTTAGAATAAGGAACTTAATATTTATAACATTTAATAAATGTTATAAATATATAAATAGAATAAGGAACTTAATATTTATAACATTTATTAAATGTTATAAATATTAAGTTCCTTATTCTAAAACTGCCCATAAATAATTTTTAACAAACTAAAAACATACAGCTGACTTTTTTTGATTAATGACTTAACAAAATTATCTTTGATAAATGATTTATCAAAAAGATTATATTTTTAAAAAACTTTTTTTTAAATTTTTTTTAAAAAAATTACAAATTTTATAAAATAAAGAACAGAACACCTTTTATTGTTGGAACTTTGATGTAATTATCTTTGACATGTTAATGTAAGCCTTATTGTTATATTTTATGTGAAAAAATTTGTTTTCATTTTTTGATTTTATGTGCAGCAATTCAAGTTTTAAAATGTCAAAAAGAAAATGCAAAAGTGCAATTTTCGATTATCTCAAGTCCACTTACAGCGAACTGCCTCTTTCTGATAATTCGACTTCTTATCAGCTATGTTTAAAAGGACATGTTATTTATTTGTATATTCAAAATGGATTTTCAGCTACTAAAACAGAAAAAAATATTTTTGAAAGATTTGGTCTTCCTACAAGTAAAAATCAAATTAGGCATTTGATAGGTTGCAGTATCATTAAATATAAAAAAACAATATCAAGAGATATGAAAAAGTTTAAAAAAATTTGCTCAGAAGTATTTTTTAATTCAATTTCTTTAACTATTTTACCTGACATTGAAGCTGTTACAGTGCCTACTGCAGTCTACAATGCATCATTTACATCCAGTTCTTTGGATTGTTTAAATTCCATTGGACCAATTAGCATAGCTGAATCATGTGCTGATTCCTTGTCAAACTCTGGTACTTCATCTTTTGATTCACAACTGTTCCCTAAGTTGAGAAATGACCAACTAACTCCAAGAAAAAAAAGTCCTTAAACAGAGGTTATCTATATTGGCAAATGAAGTTGCCACAAAAAGTCTAAAACATAAAAAGGATTTAAAAACTTTGAGAGAAAAAATTCGATCAAAACCATATAGGCTTAAACAACTAAATCAGACTATTGCTCGAAAAGAGATAACAATTCGTCAACTGCGTGAGAAGTTAAATAAAAATTGTTCCAACTTAAAGTTAAAGCAACTTCAAAATGCTAATCTTTATTTGAAAAGGCAACTAGTGTCAGCCCAGAACCAGTTATCTTCTGTAACAGCAATATTAAAAAATCAACTTGTTGACAAAAATGTAGAGATTCAAGTCCTGCAGAATGATATGTTGATATTACAGGAGAAATTAGAATCTATCCAGGAGACAAAACAAAATTCAAGACATTCCAAAAGTTACTCAACAAGTATTAGGGCTCTAATATATGACATGCCTATGTGTCATGTTCCTTCTCACAGTGTGCCACTGCTACTCCATAAAATTGGAGAACACACAGGATATTGTTTCAGTGATATCCCACACCGCACAACCGTGGAGCAGATGATGCGTGAGCTAGGTGTTATTTCAGACCTACAGACTGCTGAGATAGCATTGTCAACAAAAGATCTTACTCTGGGTTTTGATGCCACAACTCAGGAGGGTATTCATGTAAATGCAGTACACATTACAACTCAGACAAAATGCATGGTTGTAGCAATTGACCAACTTGCTGTAAGTACAGCTAATGACTATCAGAGTCACATTACACAGTCAATAGATCATCTAGCAAAGTTATATAGTGACTTTTACCAGCAAAAGTACTTGGAATTACGAAGTACTATTATTAGCAATATAAGTAACACCATGAGCGACCGAGTTGCCACAAACCATGCAACAGTAACTAAGTTAAACAATTTGTGGCAAAAGTAATTAAATGAACTTAACTGTCATCTTCATCCATTAGACACAATAACCAGTGCTTGTAAGTCATCGCTTAAAGCATTGGAAACTTCACAAGGGAATCTTTTCGGTAAAGACTGTGTTGCTGCTAACATTGTTGTTCAGCTTAACAAACTCCGTTACGAGGATGGTAAAGGTATATATATATATATATATATATATATATATATATATATATATATATATATATATATATATATATATATATGTATGTATGTATGTATAAGTGTAATTTTGTTGATGTTTTAAGTTTATCAAGTTATTGCTTTAAATTTATAAGTTTTTGAATAGAAGATTTAAAAAGTGAATTGCTTTAAACTCGCAAAGAACTTATATACAGAGTATAGATATATATACATTGTATTTTCTTAATTAAAGGTGACCCGAAGGAATTTGTTATATTTTTGGATAACAACAAGCTCCCTAAAGGACTACTACCTCGCTACAGGGGAAATCGACTACACATCCTTTTTCACACGTGTGGAGTCTTAATTCATTACTATGCTCGATTGAGAACTTTCCTGCATTCTGGTGTGGTTTCATGTGGAGGACTGAGAAATAGCTTGCTCCTAGACTTCACATCAGACACTGGTTAATATTTTATATATACTTTATATATTGGAAATCAGATAATGGCTTTTAATCTTCTATATGGTTTTTTTTTAATCGCATTTGTATATTCATTTCAGGTATAGGCGAGCTGTGTGCTATAGGTTTAATGGGAAAATTATTGACCGGTCCTTGGATGACCAATTTCTATGTTGCACAAAGTGAAGTTGACTTTTTGTCTGGTGTTGAAGTGGTTAAAGGTGTTCGCAACATTCTTATTGAGAGTCAGAAGAATGCTCTTTCTTTATTAAACCGAACAACAGACTTTTTTGGTGGTTGTTTTAATGACCCGGTGTTTGATTTTATTGTTAACTTTTCTCCTAGAACTGATGAAATTAGAGACGCAATAGTCTGCTGTTTGAGTGCTGTTGTTAATGTCATTGACCGGCAATACAAGCGACTGTTTAACTTGAATACAACTGATAAACTTAAAGCCCAGACATTATCAGCACGACTTCACAATATTGACTCAGAAGAACTTATGGGTATGTTTAGTGGTGCAAAGCAAAAAGGACCAAATGCTACACTCTGTTTCTTATCAGCAAAACTGCGTGCATGCAAAAATAAAACCACTGAGTTACTCTATGAAAAACCTATTGAGGTTCGAAACAAATTGATATTATGGGCCATATCCACTGCTAGAAAAAAGCAATTTGCAAACATACAAAAACATGAGGAATTGAAGATAGAACTGATTAAACGAATGGCTGCCAAGCTTCAAAAAAAGGAGGAAAAAGAAAGAAAAAATGTAGAAAAGATTTTAAAAAACTGTGTACCTCAGCAAATGCAAATACTGTTTCCTGATCTTGAAAATAACGAGGCTGCAGATATAGAAGATATTCTTTTTCGTGATGTTATTGGACGAAATATCTGCCACATGTGGTATGATTCTGTCACAAACACTCAGGAAATCTACTACGGGCGAATTCTTAGATTAAAAAAAAAAAACATTGGTGTATATATCATTTCTTACTGGAAACCAAAGGAGTGTGAGGACGAAGATGCTATTGAGTATGATATGAATAAATATCAACTGTCTGCAGATATCATATGTGGTGATTTGGCGTTATCAGATGATACGAGATCAATGCTTTAATGAGATAATGCGCATCCTTAAACTTCTTTCTATTGGTCAGCTAAACTCTTCAAAAAAATAAAACGGCTATTTTCATAGCCACAATTTTCTTGAGAATATTATTAGGCATTATTTAGGCCCTTAGGACTTTGTGAAGCCCCTAAATACTAATTAAAAATAAAATATTAACTATACAAAAAAATAGATAGAAGATAGAAAGAAGATAGAAGTTATAAATTAATGCATATTTTTTTTTTTTTTGTTTTTTTTTAATGTCGTTTTTTATATTTATCGTTATTAATAGTTCACATAAACAATCTCAGAAAATAAGTTTCTTATTCATTATGCATATGTATACATTATCTTTTTTTTTAGTATTCGCACCATTTAAAGGCACCAAGAAATTTAGTAGCCATGGCGCAGTGGTTTAGCAGTTGTGGTGCAGTGGTTTGAGCATTGGACTCTTGATCCAAGGTTTGCGGGTTCGATCTCAGCTCGAAGCATATAAACGTTATTGGTGAAGTTGGAAATAGAAAGTTATCTTCATAAATGCTATTCTTCATGTGGTGGTTCTCTGTGACAAGACCATTAGGACTTTTTAGAGCACCTTAATAACTAAAAACAAAAGTTTTAAGATTTAATAGGAGTGTACCTTACCACTTTTTATTTGGCTAATTTTTATTTTTAAACTATTTGATTTATAGGTGGGCGGGGGGGGGGGTGACGCCCCACATCCTATAATTTATTTATGTCACTAATATATGTGTAATTTAATAAAATGTTATTTTCAATGTCATTCTATTTTCACTAATTTTAATAATGATAAAAATATTTATCAGAATGTAGCAATTTTGATACTAGGGCGTGTACCATCACCTACCCTACTTTATAAAATACACCACTAATAGATGCTTGGCAACTGGAATAAAAAAATAACAACTTTGTTTATAAAAAAATTACTAATTTTATATAATAAAAAATTAAAATGTAATGCGCATTTTTTTCCATTAAAATCTTTAATGGAAAAAAATGTGCATTTGTTGATGGCAGAGGCAGCTCTTTTGTCCCCCCTCTAGCCCCCCTTAGCATGCACGGGTGTTAAAAGCTAATAAAACTTGTAGCCCAATGTTGCACCTATCTTTTGATACCAAGATTTATGCATTTAGAAAAGAATTGATAACGTTAAGGCGGTTTAAGTTACAAAACCACTATAAATTGGTCACAGTTTTGTAAAGGAATCCTTGTAATCACATTTCGTTACTATAATGCTCATAACTTTTCGTAGAATTATCCAATTTTGATAAAATTTTCAGTTTTGGAATATTTTTTTAAAAATCTTTCCAATGATATATAAAAATCTAATACTTAAACAACTTAAAATTTTTACACACGTACCTAGATTATTGACAGCTGATTTTGCTGACAGGTTGAATATATTTTTAGGATTAGTGAATGCAATATTTTCTTCATTGTTGAAAGCTTCTAGCTCACTTTTAAACCACATGGTTTTTGTTCCAAGTAAAGATGTTATAAGACAGACAATGCAAAACAGATTTTAGAAATTAAATTATTCAGACTAACACTAAATTTCAGATATAACAGAATTTATTATGGAAACACCTTAAAATTTTGACTTACAGAAACTAACAGGGAATGAATACAAACATTACAACAATATAAAAACATTAGTACCCATAGCTCCAAATTCATCAATAATTTCTTTAAAAAATTTCTAAAGCTTACAGAAGCTAAATTTTGGATAAAAAAATTACATATTGCAACAACTATTTAGATTGTATTACAAAATACTCTTGTATAATGTATGATTAAGGCTTTAATATTAATTTTTTAATACAAATAAAGTGATTTTAATTAAATCCATTTTTATCAGTCACTTTAAAAATATGATGAGTATTTGTATAAAGATAATTAAAATCTCAAACATTAATATTAGCTTTACTTGTTGTTTTTTTTAGGTGAATCAATTGCAATTGATGGAATATCTTTAAAATGCTGAGGTAATCTAAATAATTTTTAATTATTCAGGAATTTTAAGGATTAAATTATTTAGCAAAAAAATTAAATTATTTAGCAAAATTGTTTGATAATGAGTTCAATTTAAATTAAAAAAAAAAGTTAATATTAGTTCTCGCACAATTAATATCAGTTCTCTTAGCTATTAAAATTTAGAATATTTTCCAACGATTTTGTGACCTCCATAAATATGAAGGGGAAAGGTAGAAATATGCTTTAAGAGCACTAATTTATACGGTGTAGTGAAAGGTATACCTTTATAAGATATGTAAAACTTTTTTATTCTCATTTTTTATATATTCAAAAATTTCTCCTTGTGTTTTTTTTTTTTTTTTTTTTTTTTTTTCTTTCTAATTCTTTTTTATTAATAGCTTCTTCTATTAAATTCGATGGAGCGACTAAAACTTTAATTGATGGCATTTTGTCTAACTTCTAAAAATGCTCTTCATTTCGAAAAGTTGGCGGAAAAGAAAAAAATTTAGATTGATTGATATAAATTTATATTTATAAAAATCAATCTAAAATTTCTTTATTGAAATATTTACATATATTTCAATAAAGAAATATTCTTTTTGTCTGCTAATATTTTTTTTTCAGTGTTAATTCAACATTTAAAACTCAATTATGAAAAAAGCCTAGAATTGAGTTGTTTTAAGTAAAATAAGAAAAGCCGAAAAAGTAACTGATGTAATATTTTTATTTTTTGATAAAAAAAAGTTCTAATAATGTTTAAAAATGGTATTAATATTAATATTTATTAGATGAAGATGAGTAAAAAATAAGTAATGTTTATTAGATGAAGATAAGTAAAAAAATAAGTTACAAGTTATTTTTTGGTCTTGAAAATTGTTTGAATGATAATTTATTATTTATCAAAATATTTTCTTTTTTAATTTTTGTTGTTTTTATATTTTAATTAAAAGTAGATATTATTGTGTCATATATTATAATATACCTTATATTATACTATTATATTTTATAATAATAATGAGTATTTTTGTTTTTTTGTATTTTTATTTTTTTTCAATATTCCATAATTATTTTATGTAGATGTTTATGTTTTAGCAACCTAGTATTCTTTCATTATTTGTTTTTGTTATTGAGCCTTAAGTTATTTGAACATAATATATTCAGAACTCTGCTGAATAATAGAGTAATAAATAAATTAATAAAAATGAGTTCAAAATATAATAAATTTATGAAATAAAGAAAATCTTATCTTTGCTTATAATGTCTACTAATATTATTGTTTAGCAAGTATCATGGTTATAAAATGTTCAAATTTAACTAGTTTAATTAGGCCTGTTAGTACACTTATATTATGGTTTCTTCATTTTATATTAGTTCATGTAATTTTTTCAAAATCGAATATGCGGAAAGGAGCTGTTTGGAATGAAGATTTACAAGAAGAAGTAATTCCATCTGATTGGATTAGTGATAAAACTGTTTGTCGGCTTCCAGGTACCAAAGCATTGACTGCACTATAAATGCAGAGAAGAATTGGCTTAAGTTTATACAAATAAAAACTTAATATATTTTTTTATTTACAGCTTCTTATATTGTACTCAATAGACCAAAAGAACCCTGGAATGTTAACAATGTTAATGGAACATTGTTTGACTTTCTAAATTACGCTTTATTTCAAAAAGGTGGTGGAAAAGAGAAGAAATTTGTGTAGATTTTATTCAATTACATGTAAATATATGTAATATTTGAAGATGTATTTTTGAATAAAACAAGTTTTATCTCTTTCTTTAATCATACCTAGCTATTTTAACTAAACTAAACTGAAAAAGTTCTAAATAGTCTAAGTATAGACTATGAATAGATTTAATATCCATAATATACCTTGATAATGAACAGCAACACTAATGTACATGCATAGTACGTTTTGATGGTGATCATGTTTTGATGCACATAGCACGTTTACATACATATATACATTTTGACATACATAGCACATTTTGATGGTGAAAAAGAGTTTTTTACAGTCGTTTAACGTTGATAAATCAACGTTAAAAAAACTATCATTTTAAACGTTAAATCAACGTAAATTCAACGTTGTTGTAACGTTTTTTCGCGTCGAATTAACGTTGATATAACGTTTGAATCTAACGTTGATTTAACGTTGATAAATCAACGTTGAAAAAAACTTTCATTCTAAACGTTAAATCAACGTAAATTCAACGTTATTGTAACGTTTTTTTGCGTCGAATCAACGTTGATATAACGTTTGAACCTAACGTTGATTTAACGTTGATAAATCAACGTTGAAAAAACTTTCATTCTAAACGTTAAACCAACGTTAATTCAACGTTAGGTTTCAACGATATTTCAACGTTATTTCAACGTTATTTGCCGGCTGGGATATATATATATATATATATATATATATAATATATATATATATATATATATATATATATATATATATAAACTTTTTTGTGGAAAATATTTATACATATTTTCCTCAAAAAAGATTTAAAATAGGACCAAAATAAATAGAAATATTGGCGATCAGCCTATCACTTAAAGCAAGTATGTCTATAAATTCTATGAAACTATTGAACGGTGGCATGAGCAGCAAAGAACATTTTCATATGGTCTTTAGAGACTTAAATGTACACGTGAAACGGAAAAAACATATTACAAAATGTATCTGGTGAAATTTTGCCTGGTGAAGTTTTGGCGATTATGGGACCATCAGGTTGTCTGATAACTTTTAATTTTATTGAAAAATACTAACTATAGTTTAATCAATTTATTTACTATAAAATTCAAAAATAAATTTATATTAAGGTATACCTTAATCTGTTATATCGAAACTTTTTATTTTTTTCGATATATATGTATTAATAATAATAAATATGTATTAAAACCTTAATCTGTTATATCGAAATAAATACGATACGTGTTGCAATACCATATATGGTATTGCAACACGTATCGTATTTATTTTAATATTGAAAAAAAAAAGTCAAACTAATGTTAACTTTAAAATGTATTTAGGCAGGTCATGACACACTGCTTTAACAATCAGTTTTGATAAAAGCTATTAGTCTCCTTAATTGAAAATCATTTTTGGAAAGTCTTTCTTTGCATACTTTAGACAAGTCAGCCGTAACCGTAGTCAGCCGTTTAATTTTAAGTATGTAAAGTTAGGGCTGACTTGCCTAAAGTATGCAAAGAAAGACGATAAAATTTCTTTTTTTAAGTTTAAAATAAATTTTATCTAACCTAAAATATTTTGCTTACATAATGTTGCAATATTATGAACAAGATAAATATATCAAGTATAACTTTTGTTCTAACATTTCTACTGACAGTAACAGAGATTTTTAAAATTAATAAGATATCTAAAATAGGAGCAGGAAAGTCTACACTTTTGAATTTGCTTGTTGGAAGGAAAACAAAAGGAACCTTTTTAAACAGTGGTTCTATTGAGATAAATGGGGAAAGTGCCTCCAAAATACTCCGAAGAAAAATTGGATACGTTATGCAAGAAGATATATTCTTTAGTCATCTTACTGTGCGACAATCTTTAGAGGTAATATTAATTAACAACAATTTTTTCCACTTTTCTTTCGCAGCATTTGGCGACTGCCTCCTAATAAATTTTTAGCGGCAATCGTTCTTTCTTCTGCCCCCAGTAGCAGAAAAAAGAACATTTGTTTCTAATTAATATTTAAATTACCGTTTAAATTGTTTAATTGTTTCTAATTAATATTTGAATTGTTTTTTAACATTTGTTTCTAATTAATATTTAAATTACCGTTAACTTAAAAACAAGCGTTAAGTTATTTTTCATAACAACTTTTTTTGAGTGATATTAAATTTGAATAACTGTAATTTATTTTAGTAAATCTATCAGAATACGTTTTAATAATTTTTATTCATGCAAGCTTTTGATTTTCTTCTTTTTTCTATTATCACTTACCGATATTTTTTACAACGATTTCCCGATTCAACAAAATTCCGATTCCGATTCAACCGATTCCCCATTCAACGAAATGAATTACCGATTATTCGTACAACGATTTAGCGGAAACGAATATAATTTTTTAGAGAACATTCATAAAACATTTTTATGTTACACATATTTAAAAAAAAAAAATTAAAAATTAAAAAAAATAAAAAATAAAAAAAAATAATAATAATAAATAAATAAAAAAATAATAATAATAATAATAAAATATTAATAATAATAATAATAATAATAATAATAATAATAAAAAAAAAAATGCTTTTGTTTTTTAATCTGTATATTGGATTGTTTTTTTATTTATTTGTCATGTAATCTATAAAGACTTATTTAAATATATTACTATTACTATTCCTATTACTATTACTATATTATTCTTTCAGTAATCGTTCAACAAATAAAATGAAAACAAACGAATATTCGTTACCGTCAAACGAATAATCTTTAAAAAAGTTGTTTATCAAATAATCGTCACGCTCTAATCACAATTTTAACATAGCCATTGTACTATTAACTATCAATTATAATAGTTAATAGTGCAATGGCTATGTTAAAACAAATATATTCGTTCTCGCTAACTCGTTGTACGAATAATTGGGAATTTGTTTCGTCGAATAGGGAATCGGTTTAATCGGAATTTCGTTGAATCGGGAATTCGTTGTACGAATAATCGGGGATTCGTTGTACGAATAATCGGGAAATAATCGTTCAACGAATAAGCGGTAGCGAATATACTCGTTAAAAAAACAAGGCGTTATTAGTTTAATTTAACAAATTTAGTTAGTATATCGGTCACTCGCTTAGACATATCTACAATATTTTTCAGAATTAATTATGCCAAAAAATAACTTTTTTTAAAAAAAATTTAGATTTTTATTGTTATCCTGTGATTTATCTGGTTATCACAGGCCACCTAATGGCCTGTGATTCACACAGGCCACCTAATGGCCTGTGATTCACACAGGCCACCTAATGGCAATATGATCAACTTTTCATAATAATTGAAATAAATTTTTATTAAAAACAGCATTGAAAAAGAATTAATTGTGTATAAGAAAGTTTATTTTTTATAAATATTTTTTTGTTTTTTGTTGTTATCTTCTTCGTACATCGGTCAGGTAATATTTTCTATGTCCTTCAGGTTTTCCTACATAAAAACCATCATTTCAATATTGTCATTGCTAAGGTTATATTTTTCTCTCCATTAGAACACTTTCAGCAGTTGAAAATACTCATTCCAAAGTAGCTGATAATGCAGGGATGCACAAGATCTTCCTTGCTAGTCTGCTGAGATAAGGAAATCTCGTACGGTTAGAAGACCAACAGACTAACTCCTTCATCAACAAATATCAAATGCTATCTTACATTTGGCATAAGTTAACGGACAATTTTCTCAGTGTTTTTATTTTATTATACAGTTGAAGCTTCATCATTGGACAATTATCATTTTCAGATCTTTGGTTAGAGTTTACAATGCATGTAGGACTTTTGCCCATATTACCTTGGTGCATATCATTTATGGCTTGAGTAGTTGTATCCTTAATATTTTCGTAACTTTTCTCATCAAATGCAAAAATGATTGATCCCTTTTGTCTTGGATCAAGAAAATGTGCCATTGAATTCTCAGGTACAATCAGGAAAACGTTGTTAAAATCCTGCTATTAGGGCTTAGACTATATTCGCGACATATTTAAATTTTTAATTTTAGGTAATTTCCAATTTTAGGTAATTTTTTTTAAGATTATAGATTTTCAGTATTACCAAGTTGATTTTTGACTCTTTTTCAGAGCTTAAAACTTGTAAAATTTTATCAATTGGATTAAAACATTAAATAACACCATTAATGATATTAGCTTCTTCAACAGTAGGCACCCAACCTTTAATTTTAATTGACGTTTCTGCCAAAATAGCCTAGTACCCTTTTAGATCAATAATGGATTTTAACTGCCTCAGGTCAGAAATTCAACAAGTTGGTACTTTTGCATATGTCTAGTTTGTGGTTGCTCAATAGCAATTTTCCTAAAAATACTACGAGTATTTTGAAAAACATTGCTATTAAGTCTTAGCGGAATGACAAAGTGCCCAACTAATTTCTTTAACTTTAATGAAATTTCTAACCACTTAAGAACACTAGCTAGAGCTTGTGTGACAGTTAAATGTATCTGATGATCAGCAAATCAAAGATTGCCGTTGATAACTTTTCTGATGCGGATAGCTTGTATAATATTTAAACTTCCATTCGTTGTGCTTATGTATATGTTTTTTTTCTCAATTCAAACGTTTTATTAAGTAATCTAGTTTTTCTAGGATATTTTTGGCATTATGTGCATCAGGAAATGGATCTAGTTTAACAAGAAGTTGTTTAAGCTGAAAACTTTTGTAATAAAATGAAAAAAGAGAGACTTGAAAGCAAGATTATTACAAGATGTCCAAATATAAGTAGTAAAGGCACAACCATCAAGGTTGATCTTCTTGCTGTCAATAATTTTGTCCACATGATCACTGATGAATTTATATAATTTAGAAATTATGTCCTGAGAAAGTGATTTTGCTGAAAAAGGGTGATACTTTGCCTTCGTTGCTTGCTTCATTATATCATCAAAATATTTATTATTCACTATCCTAAAGGTAATTTTTCGTTGACGATTCACTAAGTCACTGATGTAACTATATTTACATTGTTAATATAGTATTTTGGCCATGGAGTAAGAACACGAGAGGTTTTAAACGCTTTAGCAGTTCTCGATTCACCAGATAATGTTAAAAATTGAGGGCGTGATTTAGAAGTGGTAACAAGACAAGCTCGTTTGGGAGTACTAATGAAATCAGTTTCTAAAGAGTCTTTATCAGTAATAAATCGAGGTTTTTTCGCAATCTGTTGAGCATATTTAAGTTTCTCATATCCGAAAAAAACATGGAATTGCTGTCCGATGCTTGCCAGATGATTATTAAGAGCTGATGTAAACAGGTTTTAGCAACAAGTTTCTTTTCACACACATTACACTTTGCATGAGTAGTATCAGTCATTTCAAAGAACTTCAAAATACTTCAGAGCATTTTATGAAGGCACCTGAAAAAATATATTCAAATGTTTAATCTAAATTAATAATTGCAAATGAAAGGAAATTCCTTTAGAATATTATTAGTATAAACAGAGAAAATTTTTTAGGAAAGAATATATTTAACTAACTTTGGCATATTGTTTCATATATATTATAAGTAAAGTAATAAGTTATATAAATAGTTATAGCAAAAACCAAAACAATTACAAAGCTTAAAATGATATTTTTGTTTTAAATAGCCCCGGGTAAACTTACTAAATTTGATTTATTTAAAGGAAAAAATTGCGTAAGTTTACCAGTAAAGTTATCTTGCTGATAATTAATTTAATTTAAAAACTTCGTTAATATAATTATTATACAATATATAATAAGCGAGTAAACTTATTAGTTACAAACAAACTAATAAGTAATGTTTTCTTACTTATTATATAAAGTAAAGTAACGATAATAAATTGTGATTAAAGTCGTAACTAAAAGATAAATAACGATAAATAATTATAGCAACTTCATTATAATATTATGAAAAGTATGAGAAATAAAAAAAAAGTGAAAAAATATTTTTTCCCCTTTACAAACTTAGGCATAAAAAAGGACACTTAGAAACTCTTAAATGAAAATTTTAATGAAATGAGGTGTATCTTTTATGTCTTAAATGATGTCATGATGTCTTGTATGTCTCAAAATTTTTTTAAAAGATTTTAATGATTGCAAATAAAATAAAAAAACCATAAAATATATGCGTTCTCGTTTATTTGTTCGACGAATATAGGGGAGAGTTGCCGAAATTGGAACAGCGCCTTAATTGGAACACTTGCATTTATTTTTGAAAAAAAAAATGAATTATAGCTTTACTTTACATTTTTTTAGTAAAACGCATAACTTTCTACGTTTTGACTCATTTTGAAAGTTATTCCTCAAAAAAAGGCATTTGCACCATTGATTTAAAGTTTTTTTGCGTCATTTTTTTTCAGTGATCAACTTTTGTGTTCACACTATATTGATTGCACTGGGTAAAAATGGTGCTATAGGTTATACGATTTTTTGTGTTTAATTTGATGGGATTTAAAATGCAAAATAACATTATAAATTTATCTTATATGTTGCTGCAAAATGTTATTGCAATGATAAACAAAATAGTCGAAAGTTTCCTTCATTGGAACATTAAAGTTTTCCTTAGCTAATCAATAATAAATTCAAAGGGTTGTAAAAATAGTTCGAGTGCAATTAAAAAAATACTAAGTAACAACCATAAACCTTAAAAATAATACTTTATTTAGTGGTTTTTAATCAATAAATTAGAAGAACGTCACAACAGTTAAAGCTTTTATACAATTTTTTGTTTGTAGACTTTCAGTTTGTCATGGTAATTCTAATCCTATAAAAAGTTTTGAATTAACTGTTTAAATTTTCACTGTAAAGATAAAAATCATTTTTAACCAATTTTTGTTGATTTTACTGGTTGTTTTTATTATTATTAAATAACCTGTTCTGAATCTGAATCTG